CCCCAAAACCCCAAAACCCCAAAACCCCGCAAGAGAAAAATTAGATCAAGATTCATGAATATATAATTTCTAAATTATAGAAGATAAGTAATTTGAGGACTATAAAAATAGGAATGGACGAAGACTAAATTTTTGAGACGATTCCAGATGGATTTGATTGGGGTATCACATTTTTTGCCGCTAATTATCATTCTGTAGCCATGTTTGCTTGGGACCAAGATAAGAGCAGCAAAAAATTAATTATAGATGATGATTAGCTGACAGTCAAAGTTAAGGATGGTTCTGGCTTTAAGACATCATTTGGTGATTAAGTAAGCCTAGTAGAACTTTCTAAATTTATTTAGCCTTTTAATGAGGGTGGTAGATACTACTTTTAAGTGCAACTAAACCAAGGCAATTTAGTTAAGATTGGGGTTTCGCGAAAAGACATACTAAGTGATTCGGTAAGTCTTTCTACTTTATTGAATATCTCTTGAAATACTGATTGATTCGATTACTCATGATTTCAATCAAAATTTGGATAATCTTGATTATAACTTTAAACTTAAATTCAGTGACTAATTTCTAAATCTATAGGCCTTTTCAGATACTTCCACTGGATGGGCAATATACAATGGAGAGCTCAGGCATAACAGCAACTCAAGTGGCCCAAAATATGGGTCTTCAATTCAAGCTGGGGATGTGATTGGGGTAATGCTTGACATGGCTGAAGTAAATTTAATTTTTCTTTAATTTACTCAAGGGAACACTTAGCTTCAGCAAAAATGGAAGAAACTGGGGAGTAGCCTTTAAAGATGAGGAACTCAAGAAAGGTACACTATTTCCAGCTGTAGCTCCGATATACAGTGGAGATTCATACAGTATAAGAAGACCAACTCCTGAAGATTGAGTAGCTAGTATACCAAATAATTTAAAGTAGAAAGACTGATAAATCAATTGTGCATTACTTATTTATTTTAAGAGGACAGTATTAGAGACTATATTTACACTTAATTTCATCATTTATATATATATTAAACACCACTTCACTTACTCCGTCCAATTGGGGTTTTGATGTTCTAAATTTACACTGGTCTGCAAATTTGATATCACGGGGTTTT